CTCAGTTCTTCTTTGATTGTTTGTTACTATTGGTGGTGTAGGGGTTGTTTTTTGTTGCAGTAGTGTTCTTTGTCCCACTCGTTCGGTTTTCTTGTTGTTTGAGTATCGTGGTTTTGTTGGGATTATCTACTTGAAATCATGTTTTTTTTCCTCTCTCTTCTTTGACAATACTGTGTGGTTGTGTCTTACGTCTTCTCTTGGGTACTGCTGGGTCTCTGTTGGCGCGCTTATTGGGAGAGGAAGTCCTTCCTGGAGGACGTAGTCCCAGGGGAGATGATGCGTGGTGAGTGTCTCTTTGATGTGCAGTTTTCATGTAGTGTGTATGACTTGGTGATCCTTGACTATATGTTGTGGGTCATTCTGTTTTTGATGTCTTTTACTTGTCTGTGGATTAGCTGGACAGCAGAGATTAGAGAAGAACCTCTGTCATACATCGTGCTGAGTTACTCGGTAAAAGTCATTGGTCTTCTCTCGTCTTTAGGGCCTGTTTCAGTACACGGCTTGACTAGTTTGAATTTCAGGCTCCATTTTGCCTTTCAGCTAGCCCTGTTGATGTGATTTTTACAGTTCAGTCATATGACCAGTGAAATGGCTACCTCTGTCTGAATTGATGGTGTGTGGAATACAATAACTTGGAACCATTTTCTTTACAGTACGCTTTTTGCTAAAGAAACAATGTCAGCATTTTTGCAAGCTCAGGCTTCAAGGCCAGTATGAAAACCCATACACATACAAGAATATTGTCGTATCGATCATATTTTGCATGCAAAAGTAAATTTGTAGAGCTTCAGATGTCATTGTCGTCTGTAGTTTTGCAACACATCCTCTTTTTGCTCACATGTGACAAGCCATGTAATGTGTGCTAGCGATGGGTGCAGGGATGTGGGATTTACATATTTACATGCATGGTCAATCCACAACCTATGTTTCTCTCTAGTCTCCTGTAAGAGAACCACATCATTAGGAGAGTGACAGGGTTTTATATGTTAAGGAATGCCACTTTTGGCAGCTGCTTTGGCTGCGTGGTCGGCCCAAACATTGCTTCATGAAACAGGGGTTGGATTTGGTTTGGATGTCACATTTAACAGTAACAGATGAAGATAGTTGGCATGTATCTAACTGTTCCCCAATCAGTTTGCCATGTTTAGTGGGTATCCCCGAGGATGTTTGCCCACAATGTGCCAAAGTCATTTAAACATTCATGAGCATATGTGTAATATGTGTAAATGTTACACAGTTGGACCTTTTGCCAGGTGACAGGCTCTCATCAGTACATTTAGCTCAGCTACTTCAGACAAATTATATAACCTGTGTATGGCACTTACTTCTCTATCAGCAAAGGTAGGACAGGTAATAGTAGCAAAGAAATAACAAGGATAGAAATGTAAATGTAGCTGTAGCTACGGTTTTCAGACAAGATGGAAGTCCTCTCTCTACAGGATCCAGTCTTACCAAAATAAGAAGCGGGTCTGTAAAAAGATTTATGGTGCTGAGTGAGAAGCTTGTGCAAATCCACATTTCTCATGTACAAAGGGGGGGAAGGAGACAACAAGAGTACACATTTGGTATATGACAAGATCAAGGAGCATACAACAGAGCAGATCAAGTGACCAAACCAGTAGGGGGGCCAGAACCGGCTTCCACATATTACTTGTTTAGCAAGTCTGCACTGCCTTAATGTGAATCTTTATCGGGTATTTAGGGGAAAGAATTGTTACATTACTCGCCCCTGTCATGCAACAGTGTGGGGACATCGGCTAAATACAAGTTTTAGTCAATTATTTGATCTTCTTTTGGGGCCAAAACTATTTCAAGTTTTTACAGTACCTATGTTAAAATAGCCATTATTGAAGGAAAGAAAAAAAAAATCAATACAACAGGTGATTCCTACCCTCTGAACAGTTTTGTTCTCATTATCAGTGAACAGCGAGAAGCATGAACCTCCACATCACAGCAGGAAGGAACTGCAGCTTATGTGACACATTTAAAATGTATTATACTGTGTGGAATTGCGTAACAGTTTCTGTTCGGTTTCTCAGTGTGTAAATCAGTTTTTTTCTTTCTGCCTGTTACTGCAGTAACCACAGTAACCACAGTGATGGTGCTAGATGAGCCTAAACACAAAAATCTGATACTGAAAATAGCGGTCTAAACACTACACACTATTCCCAGTAGTGTTGCCATAAGCGTACTGTTGTTTGAAAGCTCCGGTAACAACTAATTGACTCAGTTATGTAAACATTTTATAACAAGTACATATACAGCAGGGGTGTATACAATGAGTAACAGCCATGCTAGCGACAGTTTTGACACGATGATGGTGCTCGATGAAACATTAAGGTATCACCAAAGATATTAAATTTCATCCTGAGAGAAATATGAGTGTACACCAAATATCATGGCAATCCAGCCAATAGCTGACAAGACGTGACACTAAAAACCACTAAAATGGATAATTGTAACTAATGATGGACCTTTTGCTTAAAAAGTTTCATGTCGTCTTTTCTTTTCAGAATATGACCCTACGCTGTCATAACTGTGCGCTGGTGACGAGCTCCAGCCACGTCCTGGGTACTCGAGCAGGGGAAGAGATCGACCGTACAGAGTGTGTGATTCGTATGAATGACGCCCCCACGTTGGGGTACGAGACTGATGTAGGGAACCAGACCTCTCTGAGGGTCGTGGCTCACTCCAGTGTTTTTAGGGTGGTCCGGAGGCCGAGTGAGTTCTTACACCGGGCAGACAGCAACCCTGTGATCATCTTCTGGGGACCCCCAAACAAGATTGGGAAGGAATCCAAAGGAACCTTGTACAGATTGATCCAGAGAGTCAGCATGACCTACAGCAACTTGTCTTGTTTCAGTATCACAGCAAACAAGATGCGCAGATTTGACAGTCTGTTTCATAGGGAGACGGGGCGAGATAGGTGAGTATTTAGGGAGCTAGTGTGAAGTGAATCCCATTTTATTGAGTATCAGCCCCATACTGGGTAAATGTCACAAACTCTACTCTCCATTTGTTTTTGTTTCCAGACAAAAATCTCACTCGTGGTTGAGCACAGGCTGGTTCACCATGGTCATAGCCATTGAGATATGTGATAACATCAAAGTATATGGGATGGTTCCACCCAACCACTGTGGGTGAGTATAACGATGGCACTAATCAACATATGTAGACTCTTTTAAAAGGTCCTGTGTGTAAGAGGATCTATTGGCAGAAATGCAATATAATATTAATAGGTATGTTTTCATTAGTGTTTATTTACCTGAAAATAGGAATCATATTTTGGTACCTTAGAATGAACAGTTTTTATCTACATACCTCACAGGTCCATAGAGGCTGCCATGTTTATACAGTAGCTCAGAATAGACAAACCAAACACTTTACACTCTAGAATACTTTTTTCAGCCACTGTAGTTTGTCCGTCACACTTGAAAAGTGAGGGTAAATGCCATTTAATCATACACACTGGTCCTTTGAAACACTATCAACCCATCAGTTGCCACAAATTACAGATGGTTGTTAAACTAATTAAAAATATTCAAACGTTTTTTTTTTTCTAGAAAGAAATCTGGATTGAAGAAGATGCCCTACCACTACTACAAGCCCAGGGGGTCTGATGAATGTGTAACATACATACAGAACGAGAGCGGCCGAAGAGGGAACCACCATCGCTTTATTACAGAGAAACAGGTGTTTGCACGCTGGGCAAAACAGTACAACATCACCTTCATTCATCCCAAATGGTGACAAGACTTTTGTGAAAACCACAAGATCTCACAGAGGCCTGAATGAGTGCTGGATTTCAACGTAATGTCCCATCGAATGAGCCTTTAAACAGCCACATGATGAATGACAGCTACTTTCAGGAATTGCCACGTGGATGAAAAAAAGCTTTTGGAAAACTATTATTGGACCAAATTACTGGAGGAGATGTCTGGGAATGTTTTCTGTCGAAGAGGAATCAATTTTTATATGTTTATATTTTTGTTAATATGTATTGAAACTGCACTCGTGTTTCCAATGTTGAGGGTGGATTATATCAGCAAGCATTTAAAGATGCGACAAAGTGGCCTACAAAATACTATATTCTATTAGCTCGCCATTATACAGAGATTATTCTACAGTAATTGCAGTCAGATACATTAGATCACTAATTTAATCTACATATACAAAGTACATTGGAGCCCCACATTGCAGTTGAAACTTTACAAAATCAGTTCCTGAACAGATACTATACCCATACTTTTTCAGTATATTAGCTTGAATTAATACATTTCTACATACATTTGCATTTAAAAAATAGCCAGCATTAGTATTTAACATCTTAACATAAAGCGTCTATACAACTAAATAAAAGTCTAAATTGGCTTAATTGTAAATTAAAATCAGATATCATCTGATTATTAAGTAAACAGTGTAACAGTGCAAGGATTCAATGCCAGCTTACTATACTTGGTGCAAGTAAAAAAAGTTTTGAGGCTCAGATTCCAGCTCTAGTTAACGGCATGGTGGGAAATTAACGTAATTAACTAAATGGGAACATCTACAAGCCACTGACAGATACACATTCAAACTCACCAGCCACTCAAAAATTTTTTTGTGTCTGTAATGTACAGACTACTTTCATATTTCAGCAGCATTTGGCTGGTGCTAATTTCCCACCCTGGAACAGATATCAATGTCACACAATGTTAATAAAGATAATAAAGATCACGATTAGGATGACACACATAGGTAGCTAAAGTTTAAAGGATTTATCTGTGTTGATTCAACAGAGACAAACAAGTTCACCACTGTTTGTGTGTCAATAATAATCATTTAGATTGCAGAAATTGTGGCACCATGTTTATTCTAGAGACACAGATTGTCACTTTACACAGTCACTCACTTTTCCAGTCTGTCGTCATCTTAAACAAGTTGATATACCCTCAATTTGAAGATAGCAGTACTTCATTGTAACATTTTTGCTGCACTAGATGTTGATTTTAATGTTTTCATGCAAATTGAACAACGTACATGAAATTGTTGCCTCATGAACCTCATGGAAACTTTTTTACCTTAGTGGTATTTCAGTGCATGCAGCTTAAGTTCAAATGGTCCCCACAATGCATCATGATCGTGTTATATATCAGTATGTTGCTCTAAGGACTGCACGATTAAATTAAAAGTGAAACTGCAAGTTTTATGTTAGAAGCGTGAAGCCGAGAAGGGTGCAATTTCTTAACCTATGTTGCCTTTTTTATTTATCTGTAGACATATTTTGTAAGAATATTCATCTTCAGGAGAGGCTCTTATCACAACAATGTACACAATAATGAATAGGAAGAAAACACAAGAACCACATCAGCTGTTATGCTACTTTAAATCAAATTGCCTGCTAAATGTATTTATATATTAGCCTGAAAGTGTAACAGTACTGATTTTTTTATGATGCAAATTCTTTGAGCAACTGTGAACCGAGTACGAGGTAGCAGCTGAAACTCAAATTTTATGGCAGACACCGTTTCTCTTTTGTCAATCCAGTTTTTATCAGTGAGGGAAGACTACCCGTAAATATAACTCAATACAATTCCGCAGCACCACAAATTACTGGCTCCAAAATGACCAAAAAGTTCAATCAGCACCTCTCTAAAATAGTTTCAACCTGAACATTAAAACCTCCATGAAGGTAGGATTTACTGCGGGGCTGCTGCACCAGACTGCAATCGTTTTTTGCTTGGTGTACCTAGTAATCTGTAAACTCAGTGTATATCAAGTCCTTTCAATCCAGAATAATACAGCAGGCCTCATATAAATAAATATGTGCCTGTCTTTCTTGTTTTGATA